AGGGAAGGACACAGAGAAGAAGTTAACTATGGGGAGGAAGTGGGAGGGGAGCTGTTGCATTGTGGGACATTGCAGTCAGTGTCATGAGACAAAGTGTATGTGAGCTGCTGTACAGAAAGTGAATTTGTTCTGTAAACTTTCACCCAAATCACAATAACAATTAAAATAAATAAATAAATAAAAATAACCAATGTAGGACAGCAGATAACTTTCCAACTGGCCTGGCTCTACATCAGAATATACATTTTGTCTAATATTAAATGGAAAATATTCTAATATTAATGATTTAGTTTTTGTATTTCTGATAACATGGGTATGACCCCCCCCCATCAGAATATACGCATTTGGCAGATAAATTCTAAAAGTGTCTTATTAAGAAAATAAAAAAACAAACCCACTGTCATCAAGTTGATGCCAACTCACAGCGATTCCCACTGGGCTTCCGAGGCGGTAAACCTTTATGGAAGCAGATTGCCCAATCTTGCTTCCACAGAGTGGCTGGTGGATTTGAACCACAACCTTCTGATTAGCAGTCAGATAGATACCTTAGTAACTGTGCTACCAGAGATCCTTATTATTAATAAAGAATTCATTAAAAAGTTTATTTAAAAAAATAATATGCAGAGAACATTAAACACTGATTTACAACTATTAAATATTTACACAACTTCTTCGGAATACATCTATTGCATAAAGCAAAATACATCTATATATGATTAAATACATTCATAAACAAATCCTTCACTGTAAGACTAGTGAGTCATTTGCATATAAATAAGGAATGAAAACCATTTTGACTCAAAGACCTCTCAACAAACTGATCGAAGGAAGAAATGCAAAGAGCCTCAAACTGAGTATTTTATTTTCACACAGTATGTTTCTCAGCCTTTTAAAATAAAATGTGAAAATATGTATTTTAGATTTATGTCAATCGTAACTTAAGGAGACAAGTGGAAGCACTTAAGCAGCATTCTTCCAGAAATTCACTCACAGAAAACATGACAATCTGTAGGAGGTATTTTAGACAGAATAAGGTGTCTCTCTCTCACCACCTATTTATAAAGAAAAGATTCCTATAGATATCTTCAAACAGAAAAGTTACAATTATTTCAGTTTCTATCAAAGTGAAGATTTGAGTTGCATGTTTCTTTTAAAAGGAGAGGTCTTATCAAAACTAACAAGAAATTTGGTTTATCCCTTGCCATCAAATAGATCCATATGTAATAGCTCCTTCTATCAGAAAATTCCTCCGTGAATATCTATATTTCAAATAGCTCTTATTCTAGCCTCAAGAAAGATAAAAGTATCAACGTGATAAACTAAAGAATATAAAACAAATGACATCGACTTTAACACATTCAAATAACCCAAACTCAATTAACTACAAGTTTTCTATTTAATGCAATCATTTCCATTTTCTGATTTAGTGTCATCTTCAAGTTCTTCATATGGCTCAGACTATGATACTCAAAATACATGTCCTACCAGAAAAACACAGTATTAATTTGTGGCTTATTTATGTAAGAGCAACTTCATTCTAAATTACTTAAGACTGATTCATCTCCTCTTGCCCCTACCTCTTGCTGGCCTAAGCAAGCAGGCCTGGAGCCTAGAAATGCTAAAAGGATGTTATGTCTGAGAAAATGACCTAGGAAACCAATTCCTAATCTGCTCAGCCTAGGAGTCCTGTTCTGGGGTTGTTCCTATTATTAAAAAAAAAAAAAAAACTCACTGCCGTCAAGTTGTTTCTGACTCATAGTGACCCCCATCGGGTTTCTGAAGCTATAAATCTTTATGGAAGTAGACTGCCCCATCTTCCTTCCATGGAGCAACTGGTGGGTTTGAATCACTGACCTTCTGGCTAGCAGTCAAGTGCCTTATCCACTATGCCACCAGAGCTCCTTTATAAGCACCCAGTGGGCAGAAATACTGGTAAGGGCCAGATCCTTGCGAAAAGAGCCAAAGGGAACTTCAGAACAACTGAACAGAATCTTTACCCCAATAAGGCAATATCAACAGTGACAGGCAACCCTCAGGACAAATAGGCTAAGGGGCTTACCCTCCACTTGTTAACTGTGTCTCCTCATTCTACATAGTTATCTGTATGTACAGTTTTGCCACTTACAGGTTGTGTGATCTTAACAAACCATATAATCTCTCTAAGTATCCATTTCATTACCTTCAAAATGGAGATTAAAATATTCATCTCAGAAAGTTGTTAAAAGTAAAAAAACTAACTTAAGATAACTTCAGTATTTCACTCACTGATCACAGCTTCATATCCTACCAGCTGCTACTTTATCTGCTTTCTAACCTTACTGATGAGACTCTGATTCAACTGGTTTGGAGTCTGGCTCAGGTATCAGTTTTTTTCACAGCTTCTCAGGTGACTGCTATGCAGCATGAGTGGAGAACACGGCTAGCTCCTTGATCTCTCCATTTCTAATATTCTCTTCTCTCTGTCTAGCCTGCAGCCCATTGGTGACCACCTGAATTGCTCTCTCACCAGCACTCTCAAGTTCTCTGTAGCCCCATCCTTCCAAGATACTCAATTCATTAGAACCCAAACCCCTGATTCAGGGTTTGGGTTTACACTCCACTCCACTGCTGAACACTGTGAGAGGAAAGCCCATGAATCAGGACTGATGACCCTACAAATGCTCACTTTCAACTTTCACTGGGCCCTCAACAATCTTTTCTTCCCTTTTGGACAGCTCTGTCTTTTATCCTCCCTATCCCACTCACCACCAAAGTATTCTAAACCTTAAAGAAGCAAAAAAGAGCATTAATTTTATGAAATTTCCACTTTTTAACTACATATATTTTTAATACTCTGTGTGACAAAATGGGAAGTTATGAATGAAGGACTTCTGCTGCAAACTGAAGAACCACGTTAGCTGTCTGAGCTGAAAGCTAAACTAGCTTCTTTCTTTCAAGGAACATCATTTTGCTTGAAAGAATAACTGACAAAGTAACTATGGTTATTCAGACTGAGTATCTGACAGACATATTCTGAAAATGAACCAAGTTAACCTATCATTTCAATATTTGTTGCCAACGAGAAAATTCAAGCTTTCAAGTAAAGCTTCAAATTTGGGAAAACTTGTATCTTCAACATGACCTAGACAGATTCCCATATTTGAAGTTCATATTCAATTTTGTAAGATAGTTCACTACCATGAAAAACATTAAATAACAATAATATAATGTAAATAGCATTTTATTGCTATATTCTGTTTGGAAATGTACAAATATTTCATGAGCTACCCAAAGAACTGTAGAGTCAAGATCTGCATTACATATAAGTTATAAGAAAAAACAAATACACTTAGGTAGCAGTCTTAAGGAAGGCTCTACGTAGGACAAAAATCTGGGATGGAACTTAAAAGATGAGTAAGGTTTAGACTGATGGCAGCCTAAGAAATTGGTGATACTGTTTTGTTTTGTTTTTTAAAAAAGAAAGATAATATCTTTAAGTATATTTTTACTACTTCATATGTGCTAATCCAAACTCTCGAGTGAGATTTTAAGACCCTTGAATTTAGAGGCTATATTTTATAATCCTTTGTTATCTGCTAAAGAGACTAGCACAGGGCTAACTTTAATGTGTTAAATTATTTGGCTGAAAACTAAGATTTACACAAGGAGGAAGCAGAACATAAATAATGTAAGACCAGAGTTAAATATCAGGTCTGCACCTTAGTTAGGTGGCCCTGGGTAATGTAGTTAACTTCACTAAGCCAACTCAAACACACCTAGTTTGAAGGTCACCCTAAAAACATCCTAATGAAAAATACTACAGATAACTAATTATCAGAGGAGAAAAGAGAATTTGTGCTGATAATTTTATGTTGTCCATGTTTTCATGTTCTTTTTAAGCAAACAGCAATTCATAGTATTTTTATTTTTCACTTTAACAAGAAGAATTTATACGGACAAGGAATACGATACATATTGTATACAACTGAATTACTCAAGCATTCTCTTTCCTATTTCTCAATAAGACAGTCAGATTTTTAAACATTTTCAATATAGTACACTGTTCCCTATAATATTGAATTTCAGCCAAAATAGCATAGGCATCAGATGTAATTCCAACTTATTCCTCTTCAAATATTATAAAATACAGCATTCCTTCTTTCTTTTTCCTCACATGAATTAATTCACACATTTCTTGAGTTACCCTAACACCATCTTCTCTTTTGGCCACACACACAAAGACCTGCTTCATCCTTCATTACTGTCTTTTCTTCTGAAGGTGACTATAGCCACTAGAGGGCAATAAGTTTACAAAGATAAATATATTTATCTAACATGAACTGAGATTCACAACTGTATTATCACAAACCCAAAAACAGCATGAGCAATGAGATTTGAATATGAAATATATACGCTTCAAACTCAAAAATTATACCCAGCAAAGGAGTATACAGAAGTGTGTAGCAATATTCAAAAAATACTAAAAAATAATAATTCATTTTCTTGATAAGCACTAAGTAAAGAATTAAGTTCAGTTACCTCGAAGGTAAGTGGCAATATTAGAAATGAGAATGTTTTAATATCAGCCTCAGCCCAGAAAAAAATAAAAGGGGCAAACAAAAACACAAAACAGGTCAAATGTACAGGGTGAACTGAAACGTGAGAACTGATATCTTCAACTCCTCCACTGCCACGCTGAGAAAACATGGAATTGAAGAACACAAAAGATTTACCAACCCTTTCTTCCACTGAAAAGAAAGGAAAAAAAAAAAAAGTAGAGTGATATTTTTGGAGAAGAGAACAATGAATATAGAGAGAAATACAATCTTCACTTTTCTCATAATTAAGCATATGACTGGAAGAAAATTTACCAGTTATCCATCTTTGACAATTTTTCTACTTTCTGCTAACAATCCAAATATTCAAATGTATTTAGAATGTATTTAACTTACTTTGTATTTGCTTATACACAACACTGTAGCATTTATAACATCATTTTTAAAAAACTGTAACTTTCTTACCCTCATTGGATGTATATCCGCATAAGGAGGTTTTCCTTCGGCCATTTCTATAGAAGTGATGCCAAGAGACCAGATATCTGCCACACAGTTATAACCTATTTCCTGTATTACCTCAGGAGCCATCCAAAATGGAGTTCCTATCACAGTATTGCGTTTTGCCATGGTATCCTGCAATAGCATTGCACAGACATGATGATTATTAGTACAAGGACATTAAAGGAAATATGCATGCCACAGTATTTTTTAGAACATTTGTAAAACCCTCAAATATCACAGATTGTATCTGATATTAATGATTTTCCTAAATTTCCAACTAGATAGGACATGGCATAATCACAAAACAAAACAAAAACCTCACTGCCGTCGAGTGGATTCAACTCATAGTGACCCCTCCTTGGTTTCCGAGGCGGTGTCTCTATGGAAGTGGATTGGCCAATCTTCCTTCCAAGGAGTGGCTGGTGGGTTTGAACCACCAGCCTTCTGGTTAGCAGTCAAATGCCTTAAGCACTATGGCATAATTAGAAATTTTAAATTCTGAAGTAACCGCATCCACAATTAACTTATCTCTATTACTTTCATTACAGTTATTGAAGATAGTACCATACAACTAAAGCTATAGAAATTAATCAATGTAGTTATACATTATACATCTGGTGGCGCAGTGCCTAAGGCATCTCACTGCTAATCAGAAGGTTTGTGGTTCAATCCCATCAGCCACTCCATGAAAGGAAGATATGACTATCTACTTCCATAAAGATTTACCACTTCAGAAACCCAGTGGGGGTCGCTATGAGTCAAATCAACCCGATGGCATTGAGTTTGGTGGGGTTTTTTTTTTGTTTTTGTTTTTGTTTTGGCAGTTTCTCTTTTAAAGGATTTAAGCATATGATTGGCAAGATATACTTTCGTAATGATCAATGTCTCTTATATTATAAATAAGCAAATAATACCCACCAGGCACTCCTCGGAAAGAAGGTTGGGCAATCTACTTCCATAGTGATACCGCCTCAGAAACCCAAGGAGGGGTCACTATGAGTCAGGTCCAACTCGACAGTAAACAACAACAACAACTGGAATTACGGCTGCTTCTCCACAAGAACAGTGAAGTTATCCATTTCTTAAGAGCCATGACACAAACAGATATATGCACACCCATGTTCATCAGAGCACTATTCACAACAGCAAAAAGATGGAAACAACCTAAATGCCCAGCCACAGAGGAACGGATCAACAGCTGTGGTACATACACACAATGGAATACCAAGCAACTTTAAGGAACAATGATGAATCTGTGAAACATCTCAAAACAAGCATGAACAAGGTCATTACGCTGAGTGAAATTGTTGTTGGGTGCTGTCAAGTCAGCTCCAACTCACAGCGACCCTACGTGTAACAGAACAAAATACCACCCAGTCCTGAGCCATCCTCACAATCCTTGTATGCTTGAGCCCATCACTGCATCCACCATGACAACTAAGGGTCTTCCCGCTTTTAGCTAACACTCTACTTTAACAAACATAGTATCCTTCTCCAGCAACTGGTCCCTCTGACAACATGACCAAAGTGGGTAAGGGGAAGTCTGGCCATTCTCACTTCTAAGGAACATTCCAGCTGCACTTCCTCCAGGGCAGATTTGTTTATTCTTCTGGCAGTCCATGTGTGGTAGTTAAGGTTATGTGTCAACTTGGTTGGGCCTGGTTTTGAATGGCTGGGCATATGGATGTAGTTATTCCCCATGATGAGACTAGTAATCAACTCTATGGTAGAATCTACTGGAGCAGTTGAGTAGCTCCCTTAGGATGTAGTCTGCTTCCAGTATATAAAAAGAAGCATTGAGAAAGATCTCTGGAGCCTTTTTGCATGCTTGGACCCTGCATGTAGCCAAGTCTTCATCTCAATGGTCTGCCATGTTGTCTGCTGAATCAGGGACTGTTAATGGACTTGAACTAGAGGCCTGCCATGTTGATTGATAATCTTGGACTGTGCCATTGTGCTTGGGTTTGTCAGCCTCGGCAGCCAGCAGCTGCATGAGTTAAGAAAAACCTCCAGCTCCAGTGGGGCCAGGAGCAAGATGCAGATCTGAAGCCCAAGGTCAAGGGGTGTTTACCCAGCTCTACCCTCCTAAACTGTAAGAGAATAAGCTCCTATTTGTTAAAGCCGCCCACTTGTGGTATTTTCTGTTAGAGCAGCACTAAAGAACCAAAATTAAATGGTATGTTCCCTATTCTTTGCCAACACCATAATTCAAAGGCTTCGATTCTGGTCTTCCTTATATACTGTCCAGCTTTCACATGGATATGAGGCATTTGAAAACACCATGGCTTGGGTTAGGCACATCAAAGTGACATCTTCAAAGTGATATCTTTGCTCCTTAATACTTTAAAGAGATCTTTTGCAGCAGATTTGCCCAGTGCAACACAGTTTCTTATTTCTTGACTTCTACTTCCATGGGTGTTGATTGTGTAAAATGAAATCTTTGACAAGTTCAAGCTTTCCTCCACTTATCAGTTGCTTATTGGTCCAATTATGAGGACTTTTGTTTTCTTTATGTTGAGATGTAATCCATAGTGAAGACTGCAGTCTTTAATCTTCATCAGTAAGTGCTTCAAGTCATTTTCACTTTCAGCAAGCAAGGTTGTGTCATCAGCATATCGCAGGTTGTTAATGAGTCTTCCTCCAATCCTGATGCCACGTTCTTTGTATAGTCTAGCTTCCAGGATTATTTGCTAAGCATACAGATGGAGTAACAATGGTGAAAAGATACAACCCTGACGTACACCCTTCCTGATTTTAAACCATGAAGTATCCCCTTGTTCTATGCAAACGTTTGCCTCTTGATCTATGTACAGTTTCCCCATGAGCACAATTAAGTGTTCTGGAATTCCCATTCTTCACAACATTATCCATAATTTGTTATCCACATAATCAAATACCTTTGCATAGTCAATAAAACACAAGTAAACATCTTTCTGGTATTCTTTGCTTTCAACCAAGATCCATCTGACATCAGCAATGATAAGTGAATTTAGTCAATCACAAAAGAATAAGTATTGTATGAGACCACAATTGTAAACAGTCAAGAAAAGGGTTTCTCAAAAAAAAGAAATACTCTTCGACGGTTACCAGGGGTGGGTTCAGAAGGGTCAGTAAGTCACTAACTAGAGGGTAGACACATATTAATTTGGGTGAAGGGAGAGTTAAGAAAGAAAGAAAAAGTTATCCATTTCTTTCCCCAAAAAGGTTATCCAAGTGTAGTCACAATAAAACCTGAACAAATAAGGCAAAAGGAGTTTGCAAAATTATTACACTTACTGTTAACTGACCAGCCACTCCAAAATCTGCCAATTTTGCATGTCCTTCTGTATTAAGGAGAATATTCCCAGCTTTTATATCTCTGTGTATTTTCCTCATAAAGTGCAAATATTCTAGTCCTTTCAATGTAGATTTAAGAATGGTTGCAATTTCATCTTCTGTTAACTGGAAAGTAATATTTAAAAACCAGATTGTAATGCCATGTTAGATAAAAATCTTACAAGAAAACACTGGTAACAAGTACTCTTTCTAATGACCATTACACCTCCAAGAAAATGCAAAAGGTATATAACCAAGAATCTCATTTTCCCCAAAAAATATTTTTTGTCATTTTCAGTATACATTTTACTAATAAAAAGATAATTAAATTTCTCCTTTTTTAAAATTTTGAAGTCTAAATAATGAGCAAATGTCATGAATAGACATGTCTAAGAATATTTATAAATGACCAATAAGTACATGAAAGATGCTCAACTTAAGTTATTAGGGAAATGCAAACCAAAACCACAATTAATACCACTTCACAGCCACTATTACAGTTATTATCCACCCACCACCCCCACCAAAACAAAAGGAAAATAACAAGTGTTGAAGAAGACATGCAGAAAATGGAACCTTCATCCATAGCTTGTAGAATGGAAAATAATGTAGCGACTGTGGAAAAACTGGCGATTCCTCAAAAAGTTAAACTAGATTTACCATATTGTTGCTGTAAGGTGCCATCGAGTCAGTGCCAACTCAGAGTGACCCTGTGCACAACAGAATGAAACGCTGCCTGTTCCTGTGCCATCCTCACAATCATTGCTAAGCTTGATCCCCTCGTGGCAGCCACTGTGTCGATCCATATTGTTGAGGGTCTTCCCCTTTGTGCTGACCTTCCACTTTCCCCAGCATGGTATCACTCCCCCGGGATTTACTATTTGACCTATTATTCCATTACTACGTTTATACCCAAAGGAAGTGACTGCCAGAACACAGATACTTTATATATAAATGTTCACTGCAGCACTATTCACAACAGCCAAAATATGTGCACAACCTAAAATGTTCATCAACAGATGCATGGGAGAACAAAATGTGTTTTGTGTATATATGCACACACTGGGATATTTTCAGCTATAAAGAGAAATGAAGTTCTAACGTACGTACAATGTGGATGAACCCTGACAACATAAAACTGAGTGAAATAAGTCAGAAACAAAAAACAGAAACGTTGTATGATCTCACTGTATGAATAACTAGAACAGGCAAATGCAACAGACAGAAAGTAGATGAATGGTGACCTGTGGCTGGAGAGGGGGGAATCGGGGAGTTATTGCTTAATGGGGACAGAGTTTGTTTGGGGTGATAAAAATGTTTTAGAAATAAACAGTGGTGATAGTTGTACAGTAGGAATACAATTAATGGCAATGAGCTTAAAAACTGTTAAAATGGCAAATTGTGTGCTATACATATTTTACCACATGAATCATGAAACAGACCAATGCCATGCATTCCTCCTGCCAGCCAGGAAAATCCTAGTCCACCTAAGCCCTGGATTTCTGACCCTGATAATAAATCCTACTGCCATCAAGTCGATTCCAACTCACAGAGATCCCCACTGGGTTTCCAAGGCTATACATCTTTATTGAAGGAGACTGTTTAATCTTTCTTCCATAGGGCGGCTGGCAAGTTTGAACCACCAATCTTTTGACTGGCAGCCAGATGCCTTAATCACTATACCACCAGAGCTCCTTGACCCTGATAATAAGAACTAAGAAAAGAAATGTCAGAGAAAAACTAGAAAAAGACCAAAAAAAGGCTGTTGGAAAAGGAAAAGGGGAAGAGAGAAGAGAAAGGCCCAAAGGAAAAAGGATACATTGTAGTTGTAGCAGCAAAGCCACTGCTATCTGTATCACACATTGTGCTAAGAGTTTTGAATGTACTGTCTCATGTAATCCTTACAACCCTATCAGGTAGATAATATGATTATCACCATTTGACAGATAAGGAAATTACTGCACAGAGAAGTTTAGTAACTTCCTCCTGGTCACACAGAAGTAAGAGATGGAATTGAGATATGAACCTTATGTGATCATAATCCATGTTTTTAATACCCACTCTACTCTACTGCCTCATTTGTTCAAGTGCAACCTATGAAACCTCTATTTTTATTGAAAACATCCTCTTACTTTTTCTTTTTTTAATTGTGATTTGGGTGAAAATTTACAGAGCAAATTCACTTTGCATACAGCAGTTCACATACACTTTGATGACATTGACCACAATTTATCACAATGCAATATCTCCCCTCATACTTCCTCCCGATAGTTACCTCTTCCCTGTATCCATCCCTCATGCACTCCTGCCCCCTGAACTGTCTCCCTGTGCATAAGCAGCCCTTCTTTCCCCCATCATTGTTCTCTCCAAGGAGCGTATCTACCTAAGGTAAATGTTCAACTCATATGCCTATCTATTGTTTGGCTGGAAGACACAGGCGTGGGCTCAATTACAAACGTGAAGGGCAGCTAGGGACCACAGTGATGGTTCCACCAGGCTCAATCAAACCAGCAAACCTGGTCCGCCCTTTTTCTTTTCTTCTAAATGATTTTGAGTTTTGTTCCACATTCTTCTCCCTCTCTATCCAGGATCTCCTACATAGATAGATCCCTTTCTAAGTGGTTGACAGTAGTAGCCAGGCACCAACTAGTTTTCTGGTCTCATAGTCATATAGGCTGCAGATCGGATGGTGTACCAATTGCTAGGACTAATTGTTTCCATGAATTTTTGGTTTTCTTCATTCTTCTTGGCTCTGGATGAGGAGAGACCCATCGCTGCATCTAGATATCAGCTTGCAAGCTTTTAAGATCCCAGTCGCTACTCGCCAAAGTAGGAGGTGGAACAATGTTTTGTGTAGTACGTTATGCCAATTGAGCCTGATGTCCCCTGCGACTATGGTCATGAGCCCAGAGGTTCAACTACTCGGTCCCTCTGGGTAGCTGGCTGTGACCAAGCAGTGACCACAACCTTGCCCCTTGTCAGCTCTACTATACACCTGGGGAATTCAGATCATACACATAAACTTATAGGACCA